AGGTAAAATTGCCGAATCCTTAGGAGTATTACACAGAGTCAAGTTTTTACTGACTAATTCTGGTTTGTTGGCATTGTACAATTTGCTGATTGTTCCATACTTGACTTATTGTGTAGAAATCTGGGGAGCAACATACAAAAACTATACACAACCCTTATTTATTTTACAGAAAAGAGCTCTGAGAATCTTCAATTATAGTGGCTGTAGAGATCCATCGAACCCATTGTTTATTCAATATAAATTACTGAAATTACATTATTTAAAAGACTGGAAAATCTTACAAACCATGTATAAAGCCAGTTTAGGTACTCTGCCAACAAACATTCAGGGGATATTTGAAAAGGGAACTAGTAATTACATGCTGAAAGAAACTGATGTGTTAACAAAACCTAGATTTAGAACTAAAATTAAGGAACGGAATATATCTGTAAATGGTGTTAAATTATGGAATAACCTTAAAAGGGACATTTAAAAAACTCTGTCATTTAATATATTCAAAAAATGTACCAAATTGAGTGTGCTAAATAATTATGAAAATGTAAATTAAATCAATGATCATGATTTTCCAGTGATCGCACTGGAATTTAGAACAGGAAAAATTTTAAAATGAATCTGTATGTGTGTCTGACAAATGGAAATTGTATATAAATTGGTTATTTCTTCTTGAAAAGGGGGCAGAAATTATAAGATATTTTTTCTTCATTCTGCTCCTTTTCGTTCAAATTTGATTTTTTGTTATTTCTTATTGTTTATATGTTTTTTGTTTTTATTTTTGAAGTAAAGAGATTTTTTTTTGACCAATTAAGAAAAAGAAGGACACAGAGATAAGAGAGCCAGCGTGTAACAATGGTGTTCAGTGGAACTGTGGCTGCCACTGTACAGAGGTGTAAGTGGAAGCAGAATAGGAACCAGGAGTCGTGGAATTGTTAGGTGAACAGCTTCACTGGCATTCAAGTTCATCCACAATGTCGAAACAGACCTGTGAATACCTCTGTCAGAACTTCTCCTCACAGATGTCAAGGCCCTAATACTCTACTCCTCTGTGTCAGTGACGTATGAGATTGATCTAATGTGACATTAAGTTGCTTTCAAAAACATCAGATATAGGATTAAGTGCCAAATATGAAAGTTACCAGGGTCAGACTTGAAAAAAAAATCAGATTTGTGCTTTTCAAACTGTCATGTGAAATCAGATAATGGGTCGCATAATGTAATGACCAGACTGGAGAGACCCGTGAAGACAACCGAGACACAGTAAGGTGCTTTAAAGTTTTTATTATGGAACACACAGAGGAATGTTACCAGTCTGAAGGAAGGGCTGTAGCAGAGGCTTGGTCAGGGGAAGAGCGGGGGGATCAGAGCAGTTCCAAAAAGGGACTGGCAAGAAGCAGAGTCCAGGATCCAGGCCCGAGGTCAGAAATCCTGGTAATCAGATGCACGAGATAATCCAGGCAGGGTGTAGGCAAAGGGGTAATCCAAAGGTCCAGAACAGGGTTGAGATGCGAGAGCAGAGGGTCAAGAGTGCTGGAGAATCTACTGGCAAATGCTTTCAATAATCTGGCGCTGGCTTGGTGTTGGTCCTGGTGTTTTATAGGGAGCGTTGCAGGTTGAGCTGATGAAGAGTTAATGTGAGTGTAGCGTGATGAATTGTCCATCTTTGACCTAAAAGGTCCTGCTCTATTTGCTCTGCCCAAGCAAAACCGTAAGTTTCTGACACAAGCCTAATCTACAGGATAGGGGCCAAGGCCACTCATGCTCTGTGCACTTATCTAAACTGTTGCTTCCCCAGACAGCACAAGAAAGAAGAACTATTTTAGAAACAGAACTATTTCTCTTTAAACAATGATCAAATAATGTCTGTTAGTCCAAGTAATCATGTGAAGCTCAAGGTTCAATCAATCTGTGAAATGAGAATATTAATTACTTGATATTATAATCCTATGATAGTATTTTAATAAGTAATATAGCTTTAAATATTTACACTAGACTGATCATACATAATGCTAAGTCACATGACACATTTCCTTTTTCTGATCCAGTCAGACCCTTCCAGATCTGACGTGAGGCGTGGTTTTGTTGGTGCTTGTTAAATTCCCTTTTGTGTCAAATTCTGATTTGACCATTGATCAAAACATCTGAATTATAAAGATAATTCCCACGTCACCCTTATCTCAGTTCAAAGCATTCTAGAGAAGTTATGGGAGTGGCCAATCCGTAACTTGCCTCTTAAAGCTGAAAGAACCTAGCGACAAGCTGGATTAAATCTGTTGAATGTTCCACCTGCTGCAACGGTTCCTTCAGAATAAAAGCTGACCCATCACAACCCTTCAGGGTCTTGCTGATGCCAATAAACTGTCGTGACCTGGGGGTAACTCAAGACTGGAAGGGTCGGCAACCGCTGCATATCTACAGGCGTCGGTTCCAAGAGGGTCTAAAGTTGGACCCCGACATTCCGGATCTAAACGGGGACTTCTGTTGGGGTACGTAGACCGACAGATGGCGTCTCAATGTGTGTTATAATCTCCAACCAAGCTTAGAGCGAAACGCCATCTCACTCCCATCAGAACTAATCGTTTCTCCAGATTTGCTGGTTTTGAACATATTGCACACACACCATCCTCAGTCTTACTCCACCTTAGTTCATCATACACAGTGTTTAAAGTTAGTCCTGTTTTATTTGTTTAGAAATAAATCTTTTAACTTTTTAAACCTGACCCTCTCTCTTTCTTGGAGTTGATACGAAGTGTTGCTCAATCCCTGCAATAAAAAGATCCGATCTTCTGGTTAAATATTGTTACAAGCCATCTTCCCAAACTAGCTTACTCTTTAACAGATGTTACGTCTCAGGGTTGACTTGTATTTCTATTTATGCGTGGGTGTGATATTCAGTCGCTCTTTAAATTACCTGCACACTATAGGAGCTGATTAGCAATCACCATTAACCTAGACTCTGATTCTGGCAACACAAACTGCTTGCAGCTCAAAGGAAGACTCGGTTCAAGCCCACACACACCTTTAGTCCACCTGTGGCTTATTTATGCTCAGGTTAAAGACTCTAAAATAACTTGTCTAAACCTCTTGGAGTGGGATATAAAGTAACCAGCATCTCACCTTTTCGGTTACCCGACAAACAGACGGAGGCCCCCAGGCACAGAAGTCCTTTTAGTTTCTTTGAATAAGAAACCAAGGTTTTTATTTAAAAATGATGAAAAAAGAATTAATCCAAACAGAATCCCCGACACAGCGGGTAGGACAGAACACCAAGCTCGTACAGAACTTTCTCGAACTTCCGCTCGCAGTCGTTAGAACTCAGAACTCTCTCCTTACATCTCTGCCCCCCCCCCCCCCCCCCCATCTCCTGTTCGTCTCCATGGCAACTCTTCCCGGCGCCTCTTGCTTGGTGTTCTCCTGGCATTACCTCATTCCTTTCTTGTGGTTATCAGTCAATCGGGGGAGGCATGCCCCCCCCCCCCCTTCCTTGTCTTCTCCACTCCAGGGGTCTGCTTAAGCCAATCATGAACATATCCCAGATGCAGTGTCTCCCCTGAATCTTTATTGCATCCTGGACTAACCCCACAGAGATCAGTAAAGGCTATATACACACATACATTACCTAAACATATCAGAGTAGTGAAGGCACACTCATTATTTACGACATCCGGAGATCAGGAGTCAAATCACACACACACATGGCCTTTCTTTGACCTCTTCAGCCTGGTTTCATTCACACACAGATTGAGATGTAATCCAGAACTGCTTTCTTATAATATACACAGGTCTGGAATCGAAATCTTTGTTCAACAAATATATTCAAAGATCCATTAAGGTGATATTTCATATTTCATGGTATTTCACATTCTATGGTTTCTAATTAAATGTAAGAACATCTTCTCTACATGAGGCAGGTGGTTTGGATGAGGTTGATGGTGAGCTGGTTGTGGTTGCTGGGGAAACGGGGCTTGGCTGGAACAGGGGCATGACAGCATAAGGGAAAAAAGTCTAATTTAATGTCCTTTTGCCTGCAGTGTGGACATAATCTATGACTGACACACCAAGCATGCCTATATGTTCTAGCTAATATTCTCTGTAGATAACATGGTTCCGTGTTTTTATAGTGATTAAATGTTTTAGGGATACTAAAGCTATTCATCATTTTATAATTCAGATAGACTGACATTTAAAGCTGTCATAGCAAATCAGCAGAACAAACTAGGTTTTGGACGCAAACACGGTCACAGAACATTCACCCCCTCCCTCTTCCCTGAGATGCTTATGCTGAAACCTGAAACCCACGATGTCTGAGGAAACTGGCAAATGGTGTTTTTCTTGGGACTCTGGTAGTTTGTCCTAAAGCTGAAGTGGTAGTAGCCGGCTGTTTCTCCTTCTCTGATAATACTGAGCTGAGAACCTCTCACACCAGTGGTGTTGTTAAATACGTGAGTGCGTAGTGAGTGGAGAAGCTAGGAAAGTGCGGAAATGAGGCGGTTCAGCGAGGCCGATGACTGGATGGTCCAATAGTTGCTTTTGGTCTGAGACATTTATACAAATGTGAGAGAACCATTTTATTTTTATTTTTTTTTTTTTTTGCATTTTTTTTATTTCCGCAATTTATTTAAAGCTATAATAATAGAATGTTGTTAAGAGGCATGAAACAAATCTGTTAAATGAATTTGTTTTTCAATGTTGCTATTGCAGCTTTAAAGCCCTGAGTAAAAGCTTGCTGTAAAGCAGCTCCAACTGTTTAAATGCCCTCAGTGGCTTCCATAAAAGCTCTGGTCCCTTTAAATGCTCCCCACACACCACGGACAAAAGAGGCCCTGCTCATTCATGAGAATAAAAGATTTGTGTGTATGTGTGTGAGATCGAGACTAACACGCAAATGTTGTACATTTATTCTCCAGGAAGTCAGAGACCACACTTGCCCCGTCTTTCCTTATGTCAGTACCTCCGCTATCTGTCATTCTCATCACTTTTTTCTCTATCTCTTTTTTTTTGTCAAGGACACATTAAACAACAATTCCTTTGGAAAGAAATACAGCTGGCAGGAAAAGGTTTCTGGTTCGTCTTCACCTCTTAAAACCGGTAAGAGCTGAATAAACAGGAAGCTGCTGTTTTCAGTTCCCTCTGACGTGTTTCTTCTACCAGATATGTAACTGTCATCAGGGTGGGGACACGAGAGATTTGGTTTGACTGGCTGGTGAGGGTATGGTTAACTCCAGGAATAGGAGAGATGAATTAATAACGCACAATGCTACAGCTCGCTCAAGGTTGTTTTTAGCAACAATGCTTATCAAAGTCCCATGTTAGAAAAACAAACTATGCCAGAATTTTGGCATAAAAACAATTATTTATAGCTTCTGCTATGTTAAAACATGGTGAAAAAATCCCAATTTGAAGTTCAACTTCCTGTCTCTTCTGTACACATGGCAGAATGACCGCAAGGCTAAAATGAGAGAATCCACAAATTTACCTCAGTTCACTTGATGTCTAAGTTTGTATTTAGTAATTGTGGTATTTATTTAACTAAACCAAAGATAAATGGTAAACCAATATTATCTGTTTTATTTAGTCTTCTTATAGGTTTTTTGTCCACAATGCAGCAGAAATAAACAAATAAAAGCCTATAAGGTAAACATCAAAGGTTCAGCACTTGAATCCAATAGTTATTACTAAAAGGAATAAAAATTATTTAAATTCAGCATACGATGAAAGAAGTATAATTATCTTGTTCTAAATACACTGCCCGGCCAAAAAAAGTCACCACCTAAAAAATATGCCACACTCACATTTCCTTGGACTACTTTTAGCTTTGATTACAGCATATCTTCACTGTGGCGTTGTTTCCATGAGCTTCTGCAATGTCACAAGACTTGTTTCCATCTGGGGTTGCATTAATATTTCACCAAGATCTTGTATTGATGATGGTAAAGTCCGACCGCTGCACAAAGCTCATACCAAAGATTCTCAATGGGGTTAAGGTCTGGACTCTGTGGTGGCCAATCCATGTGTGAAGATGCTGTCTCATGCTCCCTGAACCACTCTTTCACTATTTGAGCCTGATGAATCCTGGCATTGTCACCTTGGAATATGCCTGTGCCATCAGGGAAGATGGAATGACCTGGTCATTCAGTATATTCAGGTAGTCAGATGACCTCATTCTTAGAGAACATCCTGTTGCTGAACCTAGACCTGACCAACTGCAGCAACCCAGATCATAGCACTGCCCCCACAGGCTCCACTAGGCATGATGGTGCATCACTTCTTCTGCCTCTCTTCTTACCCTGATTCACCATCACTTTGGAAAAGGGTCCATCTGGACTCTTCTGACCAGCTTTTAATAAAGCGTTGGACAGTTCTTACCCCAGTTTTAGTCGTTTCTGCAATCTCCTTAGATGTTTTCTCTGCTTGATGCTAGGGGTTGTATCAACTAGTCGACTTCACTGCTCTGTAGTGACTTTTTTACCTTTCATAGACTACTCGCGGTCACGTGATAATGACTGATGAGATGTAGTCCTCGGAAAAGACAGCAGGTGAAGAGCCCCTGCACGTTGGGAGGCGACGCGCTGTGCCAGAGCGTTGGTATCTGATGCCCACCGTAAAACGGACATTTGACTGAATTGTGACCTTTACCCTCTTGCAATTTAACCTTCCTCTCAACCCCATCCTAACCTTAACCAGCTTCCACATGCAAAACTCTGATCGTTGACGCGCTCCAGACATCTGCGTCCTGAGCACGGCCACAGTAACATTATCAAATTAGGTGTCGCCACCTCAAAAACAAATGTAACATGCGATTGTTCATGTCGGCTCATTTCCTTTAATGTTTTCTGTCTTTTATTTGTGCCTGATGCTTTTCACTGCTGTGGAGCGGAGCGCATCACCTGTTCAGTCCTCCGGTGATGTACCGCACTGGTGCGGCCGGCGCGCAGCGCGCACTTCGCTGTTTTTGCGGTCGGTAGATCTTTTAGAACTGCAGTTCAAAGGTAACTCATGAGGTGAATATATATGAACCCAGGTAGCAGTTTTTCTTTAGGATTGAGAGGAGATGCAGGACGATAATAAACAGGCAGGACAGAAAAATAGTTAAATAAAATCAAGTTAGTTTTTGTACCTGGTGGTTGCAACAAACAGACACCATTGAAGGTAATCAGAAGTGAGGAACAGAAAATGATATAATTTTTTTAATGTTTAGAGCAGCAGAAACTCTGAGAGGCTGCAGGCGCATCAGTGAGTTTGCGGCCGCTGCGCAGGGGGAGGGGGGAGATGGCTGAAGCAGAAACTACCGTTGTTAAAAGTGATGTGTTTAACTTAGAAAATGTGGGCGCAATTTCAGTTGTCAAAAACTCCAACGAACCAACCCAACCCACACACACCTCAGATTGCTGTAAAAGCGGTGAGATGGGTGGCGCACACAAAAAGCCTGGGACAATTATTACTATAACTGATGAGACCTGCAAATATTGGTCAGGACAAATTTATAAAAGAGGAGAAAAGAAAAGAAACAGCGCTACAGAAAGTTGAGGAAATGAGTGAAAACAGGACAGGCAGCAAGATTTGGACACATTTTAACTACAGTGACAATTAAAAGGCAGAGTGTGGCATATGCAAAGAGAAAATATATCCAACAGGCTCTAATGGTTCAAAGTTAATAAATGTTTTACGTCGAGTTTAGTATTGTCATTTAAAATGTGTTTTTGTAGCTCTCTGCTTTGTGTTGAATAAAATAACTTATCTAAATAATGAATAGTTGATATACTATATTGTAGATCAGTAATTAAGTTTAGTCCGTTTTGTATAATTTCTGGTAATAAGTTAATTTAAGAAAAAAAAACATGAGAAGCCGTTTGAGAGCCAAAGGAGCCGGTTGATTTAAGTGAGCCATAAGAACCGGTTCTCTTGGAGGAGCTCATACCTATTTGCTTTAGTTAAATCTAGGTGAAACCTTTTTTGGCCAGACAGTTTAGGCTACCTTGAATGCATTTCCTCATTCTCTTAATGCTAATCTGTTCCCTTTTTTATTTAATCTTATGTTTTTGCTTCATAAAAAAGCAAATCAATTACATCTGCAATCACTTAAATCATGTTTTAATCTAAATGATTTTAGGAAGCATTTCTCTGTTTTATTTGCATCTCAAAGCCTCCTATTTTTAGTTGTGCCGCTTGCAGCGATGTCCCGACCCAAACTCTAGGAACCACTGGTAGTTTTCTGTGATGTCAGACATCTCTGCTGTGTCTAGAAGATGAAAAATACACTAACTTGATTTCCTGTCAATGGATTATGACGTAATATGTGACATAATTCAGCATTCACCTCATCCTTGCTCTGATTTGGGTGTGTAAAGGGATTTAACTGTGTAATCCTGACATTACCTAACCATTGCTACTCTTTCTGCTCTGTGTTTTTGTTCGCTGTCATGCCTTTTCATCCTCATGGCTGCTGGTGTATTTCTCTGTCTCCATCATGTGTGTTTACCTCTGTGTGTCTGGCCTCTCTTTATGCTTGTGTGTCTGTGTGTTTGTTTGTGTTGCCATCTCCATGGTTTTGCTTGTGTCTGCTCTTTCTTTAGGTGACCTCACACCTCCACGTGAGCACAGCTGTCTGGGCGATCAGGACAAGGTGCAGCTTGGGGGAGCACAGACCAAAGACTGCGGGACATCCACCGACGCCCCCTGCAGACACGGCCACACGTCGGGTCATTCGCATGGCTCGAGTGCAGGGGCCGTGACGCGCTGCAAGCTACAAGAGAAGCCTCCTCAACCTCCACCACCACAGAACTACACACCAGCTCCTCTGTACCCGGCGGGTAAAGCCGATAGTATTGCTCACCATCGGGAACGGATTCAGTACCAAAAAGATGTTCATTTGGAGCCTACAGAGGAGATTTACCTGACTCCAGTGCAGCGTTCCGCTGACCTCTTAGAGCCCGCTAACACACAGGACCGACCTTTCCTCTCACAGCAGACTGAACAAGGACGCATGTCCATAAGCTCTGATACAGAGGGACCACCTCCTTATCAGCCCCTTCCAGACAGGACAAACCCCTCCATCTATGAAGAGGATGAACTTTATGTCCCTCCACCTTCATACGCTTCCTGTGTAGAGTCTCTCATCACACCTCCTGGCATGGCTGTTTCACCTAACTCGTCTCTCGCCCTGGACCTCAGCTTGAAAGCGACAGGGGCCATGCTTCGAGCTGGCTCTTCTGTCGAGTATGTGGATGCCACAGATGACAGCTATTGTGGAGAGGATGAGGATGTAGACAGGATAATAATGGCCCAAAGAATGACAAAGGGGGGAGGGAAGGGAGACAGTGGTGGTGTCAGCAAATCTGTCCCACTAAGGACTACCATGAGCTCAGAGGCCAGCAGCTTAACATATGACTCAGTCAAATACACACTGGTGGTAGATGAGCATGCTCAGCTAGAGCTCATCAGTCTCCGACAGTGTTACCAAGGCTACAGTGATGACAGCGACTCGGCCACCGTCTATGACAACTGCGTCTCCTCGCCCTACGAATCAGCCATTGGGGAGGAGTACGAGGAAGAGGATGAGGATCAAGACTCTCGGACAGGAGGGGTGCAGAGGGAGGCAACAGCTTGCCTTTCTGAAGACTCCACTTCTGAGGAAGACCTGCATTTCTCCAAAAAGTTCCTGAACGTCTTCATGAATGGGCGCTCTCGCTCCTCAAGTAAGTTCCTGTCATTTTTACAATCAACCTGCTGCAAATAACAAAAACTCCGCCTCAGACCTTTGAGAGCAGAATAAATGCAAAGGGACTGAGTTGGCAAATGTTTTGTTTTACTTAGTTTTTATGTAAATGAATCAGAACACATGCAAATGAGACTAACACAGCCCTACTGGTTTACGAAGAGTCATTTGTTCATGTTTACCCAATGAAAAACATTGTTTTAGTTATGAATATTTTATCATTTGTGTGCTGTTTCCAAAAAGCATATCTACACCACTGATTATTATTAGAGATTTTTTTTTTCAGTCGAGGCAAGATGTATTAGGACTTTGTAAATACTCTGCTTGCAACATGTTTTAGAATGTTGCAAGCAGGATGTATTACATCTGTGGTGAAAGTAAGAAATTGCATTCAGTGATTTCCCTCTAATAGCGATATTTGCAGTAGCGTGGGCTGCGGGAGTGAGCGGTAGGAGAGCGGAACGGCTGGAGGGCTGGCAGATGTGGACTCAGGAGTTCATCCAAGGGGTTGTGATTGCTCAAAATTGACTGATAATTCAGAGGCGATCGGAGCACCTGGAGGTGAGAAAAAGGTCAGAGGCTCGAAAGGCTTCTCTAGGAATTGAAAAGACGTAGATAAAGCTGACACCCCACCCACATCAGTAATCCACGCAAATAGGTGGAGTGGTTAGTGCTACGTTTGTGCTGATTTGTGCTGTTAAAATTGTCGTTTGTGGTGCTATGGTTTTTAAAATATTCAACATTATTTTTATAGGTCATCCAGGTGTCACCATCCCCCCAGGTCAGTCCAAAATGAACCGGACCAATCTTCGTTTTAGTGCTACGTTTGTGCTCATAGAGTAGAAGAGGTTATGACCCGCGAACTTTTTCCGGTCGAGGGTGGCTGGTGATGTCATCGCCCCAAAATAAAACTATTAATATCTCGAAAACCACAGCAGCACAAACAACCGTTTTAACGGCACAAATGAGCACAAACATAGCACTAAAAACATAAACTGGTCCGGTTCATTTTGGACCTACCTGGGGGAATGGTGACCCCTGGATGACCTATAAAAATAATGTTGAATATTTTAAAAAATATAGCTGCACAAACAACTATTTTAACGGCACAAATCAGCACAAACGTAGTACTAACCACTCCACCTATTTGCGTGGATTTCTGATGTGGGTGAGGTGTCAGCTTTATCTATGTCTCGAAAAGCGCTAGTGACTCCTCATCTGGTTGTACCCACAGTGAGTAATCATCCAACATTGTGCAGTCGTCTGCCAATCCTTAAATAGTCCAATCTGGAAGACTGTCTGACTCACAGCAGCTGGGTCCGCTCCACCCACCCGCCAACAGCACTCCACCGTTAGTGATGGCCACTCACCTCAAACTACGACAGATTCGTATTCATGATTCATAGTTTAGTGGTGTGTGTCCATCCTGTGACAGGGAGATTGTGGGTTCAAATTCATGTCGGGTCATACAAAAGACTTGGGACCCTTCTTGACACTCAGCAGTAAGGGGTTGGATTGGGCGGTTAAGTCAGCAAATAATTCCCGAGTGCACCCAAAGCTGCAGCTCACCCCTCCCTACGGGAATGGATCAAATGCAGAGATGTCATTTCAAGTGTGTGTGAAGATGCCTAATAGAATTTTACAGAGGGTGTTTTTTTTTCACCTACATAAAAAAGCTAAAAAGAATTTAATGCTTTCACCTAGTGGGTTTATGGGTATGTTTGTGTCATCAGATAATTAACACTATTTAATTTGGGAATCTGGCACTGAGAAAGAGCCAATAGGAGGTACAAAAACAAAGCAGCAGGCTTGGCTAAGAAGCCAAGTCTTGCTGAATCTGGGCCTGATTCTGTTTTTACATTTATAATTGAGGGATGAAGGTTCTAATACTAGTTTGAGTATTCATGTTAGTGAATCACCAAAATCAGGGGTCCTCTAGGGAGTATCTTTCGTCTGAGTCATGACACCTTGGAGAAAGTACGTGGTAATTTAACTCTCATTGGGTTAGGGTTAGGAGTTTGTAAATCCTCAGTCACTGTTGATGTTTTTAGGTAAAGGACAGGACAAGTGGAGTGTGTTAATTGACTGACCTCTTGTGTACTGTTTTCCTTGTGCGCATCATTCACACCTTTCTGAGAAACCGTAGCATTTTATGTGCACAATGAAAAAGGGGGTGAGGAATCTCAAAGGACAGTAGGGAGAAACACAGTGCGTGTCTGTTTCACATTTAATTTAAGTATCATTTAAAATCTCTTAGGAGGGCTGGTGTGCTTTGAAGTGAACTATGCATTAATTAAAACGTCTACTGCATGAGAAACCTTTGTTGCCATTCAAAGGAAATAGCATGCATCACCTTGTCAGAGGCAGACAATAGAAACTATTGCTAATTTCTGTCTAAATCAGTTGCCTTACCTTGTTTCTTTTATGTGGTATTAAAGGTGCTGAGTCATTTGGCTTATGTTCCTGTGTCATTAATGGCGAAAAAAAGGACCAGACCCACAGAGCAGTTTACAGGTGAGGAACTACACCATCATAAGTCTCCATGGAAACCATCACCCAAGCACAAGCAAGTGTTTGAGTTTTGGACTGTTACATTAATAGCAGACCTGTGAAAAAAGAAAAAAGTATGGGTGAATTAAAATGTACATTTGAATACATAACATTACAAACTATACCCACTACATTAATTTTTAGAATACTTCTCAAAAGGCTGTGTAAAACAAGGAATCATCTTCCAGATTTATTCCAAAAAACTTATGATTAAAGCATCTTTCCTGAGTATTACCCCATGGCACCATCTAGTGGCTGACAAGCATACACAAATAGTCGGTTGATCCATTTTTTTAAGATGGTGATTTTGTGTTTCTTGTTTATTAATATTCTTATGTGTGGTATCCTGTCATGTAGCCGGTCCAAGATAGTGTGTCTATATTGTGTTTTTTGTATTTTAAAAACTTTTTAACACGGACAAATTTGTCACTCATCCTCCTTCACCTCTTCATGTGCTCGCCACATCTAAACCCACATTTCCCTTCATTTCCGTCCACGAATAAAACACTTGCTGCATATCTTTTCATGCCTCCAGTCAAGGGTGAATAAAACATTCATATTTTTAGAGTTTTTTCACGAGGTATTCTTCAAGCTGCTCCATTTCTGCCGCTAAATATCCTCGGCTCCCTTTATGTTTTTGAGGTTGCAATGGCGGCGTTGAAGACGGCAGTGGCGACCTGACAAATCACTAGCTCGTGTTTTCCGTCTTGACGGACGGATGTTTAGAAAAGAGAGCTCGACTCCGTCCGTTTTTGCAAGCCTGTCGGAGAGCCCTCGAAAGGACGGATAATGGCGTTGCGTTCGTCCCGACGCAGACAGAGAAGTATACATTAGGCTTAGCAAAAAACCCAAAAAAGACTATGGCTTACATTATATCACAGTACATGATAAGATAATCACTTTTCTGAAAAATCATACATAATTTCTGAAAGGGGAAAACTCCAGAAAGCTGCTTTAACATCATATACAGCCTTTAGTTAAGGGTATCAACATAATTAGATCATGAACGCAGCTGGTTTGTTTAATTTAGAGATGCATCACTCTTGTAGACACTAAGGAAGGCTGGGAGACATTTCTGCTGTTAGATTAAGGCGTTAAAAAGAAGAACGCACAGCGAGGAGATAGTTTCACTTCTACAAACGGACACTAGGGGTTGTAAAGGCAACTTATTAATTTCAATATTTAAAGAAAACACGCTTTAATAAAAGAGAAATATTGTAATTTTCTTAAATATTAGGAACATTTGGGATTTTTAAAAGACCACATAGGGCTGGACGATAAAATAATAACATTGTATATTTCGAAATAACTTCTTCTCGATAGACATTTGGGAACAAGTCGATAGAACTTTGATATAAAGAAAAAAGCTACATGAAGTAGTTTAGCTAGCATCACAGCTGTGAAGCTAATGATGTTGACCTGGTTCTGCGGGTTCTGACAAATGGGGGAAATCACTGATCTATTTGAGCTCCCGAACCAGCTCTAATGCTGGAGCAGCAGGATGTACAAAACTTTAGGATCCCAGCTGAAAGCGAGTTTGAGGAGACTTACTTTAAGCACTATGCATGTAACATTTATTTCACTCCTCTACATGACGTGCTCACCATAGACATGAATAGGGAGACGGCCCATTAGGCGCTGTAGAGCAGTGGTTCCCAAACTTATTTAGCCGCGCACCCCCTTCTATGTCCCGACCATATCGACGCCCCCCCCCCCCCCCCCCCCCCCCACAGCCCCCACATCAGGGCATGGCTATATATATATATATATATATATATATATATATATATATATATATATATATAGATAGATAGATAGATAGATAGATAGATAGATAGATAGATAGATAGATAGATAGATAGATAGATAGATAGATAGATAGATAGATAGATAGATAGATAGATAGATAGATAGATAGATATCAGATGTCAAGCTAAACAGACAGGGTTAAAAAAAATTCCCCATCACTTTAATTTTTTAAATAGTAATTAATAAACATTCGATACCATTACAATTTCCTTTGATTTCATTTTAAATAAATATTTAGAGTGCCCAGGTAGCACATAAACAATGCAATTTAACGGTTTTCTTAAAGTAGGAACGTTTAACCTGTGCGGCCAGAGCGCTCTCCTTCCTTCTGCTCTGCGTAAACCTGAGCTGATCACCTACTTGTGCGTAATCAAATGTCAATAGGGGACAAGATATAGCCATGATGTTCACTTTTACCTCAGACCGACTTATTGCTGTTTTATGGTGTGGCTGAATCTGCGATCCGCTGCCACGCTGACTGGAATAACAAATGCTGCAGTAACAGGAGTTGTGGTCAGGTTCATGAGGAGTCACTGGCTGTAGCGGACCCGACTCATCCCAGAAGCTAATATCTTAATTTGACCTTGAATGAAAAATAACCTCTTAAAAGTTTTTATCACGGTGGAGGCAGCGTTCATTTCTGCCTTCAGTCTGACGGCGCGCCGGAGTTAAAGCAGCGTGCGCGCTTATTGAATCTGTGTGTGCGCGCGCGTGCACTCGCGCGCAGCACAGCCGCTCAAGTCACCGCATCTCGTTATTTGGCTCAATTTAAACCAATGTTGTAAAATTACTTCTGCCCAGCACAGATGTGCTCACATGTGCACCCGTGAGCCGTGGTTCCGCTGGAACGCGTCTGACCTCTGACAGACGCACTCTGAACTTCAGATCTTCAGCGAGCTGTCAATAGCCTGAATGGGAATCATTTCTTGTTATTTTGTTACATCCACAATGTTCTGTGTGTGAGGTTTACAATGTCAGAACACCTGCATGAGACAGGTGTTAATTACAATCTGCCAGAATGACTCGCCACCTTCAGATTTCTCCAACACCGTTAAAAATGATCAAATACGGAACATATCAGCGTGCGCAGGCCAGAGTGCTGAAGCTCGGCGCATTGTTATTATGAAGCTAGGGCACATGTGGAGGACACACGCGTGCACGCGCAAAAATATACTTGTTTTCAATTACATTTATTGGGCCCACTTACTTTTTCTTTGGCCCACCCACAAATGAGTTTCTACGCTAATGGTGACATATGACAGACTTCTCTGAGCTCCGCAGCCATTACACTTTTCTCCTCGCGCACCCCCTAGCTTCTTAATTTGACCTTGAATGAAAAATAACCTGTATGTCTGTGGTGGTCACTGCTCAAGAATCAGAAGTTAAAGTCAAGACTAAATGCAGAGATCTCAGCAGACTAAACTAATCAATCCTTACACAACAGATTGCTACAGCAACTACAGATGATATACAAAATTTAAATTTATAGACATTCTCTATTTTACTGTTTTGCTTTTTTTCTCTTTTAGAGCTGCTTAAAATTTCAACGATATAAAAAACTGTTTTTTAATCATTTCTTTTTTGTTTGTTTTTTCTTAAAGAAACTATTATTAAAGCAAGCAGATACATTTTGAGATTTTATGTTTAGATGGCTCTTTTACTGAGCTCTGTTTTCCTCTAATTCTTAAAGTTTTTGTTCAAAATTAACCTTTTTTTAAATCCAAAACAGTTAACTCATTCACTGCCAGCCGTTTCCTGATCGCTAAAGGCCTTCACTGCCAGCGTTTCTCACCGTTTTCACTGTTTTTTTAAGAGTCACTGAACGTTGCGCGCTAGGATGATGTTGACGCCAAAACAACCAAAACAAAGCGGAGCCTCACCTCTTACATCAGGAATAATCGGCGTGTTTCGAGTGTTATCTGTTCTTTCATAATCCGTTGTCGAATTGTGATCGGCAGAAGCTTTTCCGGTTCGCACCTCACTTTTTTCAAAGGAACGGCCCAAAACGATCTCCTAACACATGGAATTTCTGCTTCCTAATCATGTGACGTGTGACGTATGTGGATGAAGATAGGCTTCAGAGCTGAGATGTTTGTTCTCACTGTGCAGGGGCTCGTTCCGATGCCCACACAGTAAAAAAAATAAATAAATGCAAATGATGTCTTTAGTCGTCATTTGCAGTGAACGGTTGGATCTAAAATGATGACTTTAGTCGTCAATGGCAGTGGATGAGTTAATGACATGTTCACCTTCAAAAAATGTTTTATAATAAAAAATAACCATCTGATATCATCAAATCTCAATTTTAAATAGCAGAGAACATTAAAGATTGACAGCAATAGTGATTAGTTTTATGTCAGGATATATATATATATATATATATCGATTTCGACCAAATTATTTTCCATATTGCCTAGCCCCAAGACCAGATTCTCATGAAGTTTCTTCATGAGGGTTCATAGCGAAAAGACCCACCACTTTAACTCTAATTAGATAATTACTTTGAAAATTTTAACTCCTCTCACCAGATTTGTGCCTCGACATGATGATGAACTGGAGTTGGAGGTGGACGACCCTTTGTTTGTGGAGGTCCAAGGGGAGGACTACTGGTATGAGGGCTACAACATGCGGACTTATGCTCGTGGGATCTTCCCTGCCTACTACGCCATAGAGGTCACCAAGGACACTGAGAGCTGTGAAGGTACTGATAAATGTACAAGTTCAAGACACTGTTAAAACTGTCCACAAATTTGCTGAAAAAGATCCACTTTCTGACTACAAGTGTGTTTGTTTTGGTTTGAATTTGAGTTGAAATCATATGAAGTGCTTTCCTGATTGCAAGTCTTTCTTACAGTTTCAGCTTTTGAAAAGAAAAAAAAAAGACATGTAAGAGCCCTAAAAGTTTGTTTGATCAAAAACAAACTCCAGAATGAAAGTTCCTGAAAGGGCATTTTCATTTTCATAGACAGTCAAAATATAACTTTTTTTAAAACTTCTCATATTCACACCTCAGACTTGCCTCTAGTCTAACCTAATACCATGTCAGGATGCTAATACCGTCCCTATTCACACATGATTTTCTGGAATTTGTGATAAAGATTCTACAAAATTCAGTGGCTGAAGTACAATCATCCCTGCCTCTTGCTTATTGTTTGCACATACCATGCAAGTAGTAATCACACACAGGAGGCTTTCCTGATTTATTTTTATTTTTATTTGTTGTTGCGGTGGATGTTCATATAGACTGGAGATGCTCCAATCCGATCATGTGATCAGAAATCGGGAGAAAAAAAACGGATTTAATCTTTTAAAAACAACAAAACATGACTTTTTAAATGCATCCTGAGATAGAGGTTTTCAAATTGAATGAAAATGGCTTAGTTCTAATTTCAATACGTCCCTCTACATCAATAATATTAGTTTCTTGTACGAACAACACAGTAATGTCAAACAACTTACGGCAGGCAAGGACTCAGACACCAAGTGCCGCTGTTAGCTAGCCTGCTAACATAGAGCTAACGTGTCTCCTGAGGAGAGCTAAAACATCTGCAGCTTGGTTGTATTTAAACCGGACAGCAAAGGCAGAGCTACAGACACTTGTATGTGTGCATACCGAGCATTCAATATGCTGAAAAGGGCAGCTCCATGAGTCGCTGCCTTCAAACAAGCTAATTTCGCTGTCAGCTTTTCCCTTCGGGCATCAACAAAGGAAATTACTGGTCTCCATTAATCCCTAGATTACCTCTAACAGTCGCAGTTCACAGTGAAGTCAGACAAAAACTCGGAGCCAGCTGACAGAGAAAGTTACGCTAATGAACTAAGAGAAATTAGCACCTTGAATGTTTTTGTTTTTTATTGTACAATGCTGGCAGGCAAAAACACTGTCCAGCTGCTATCCTGACCTGTCGCATTTTTTTAGAATATTTTTTGTTCACTAGTTCTTGTTTGTTTGCTTGTCAATTTGGTTCTGTGCAAGATCTGCCCCTTAATTGGTTAATGCTATGTTTAGTTGCTTTGTCAAAGTCTAGTCCTAATTTATTTTATTTTTAATATGTATATCCATTTCTTAGTATTGTAAACAAAACCATTTTCTTCACTTGTCCTTGCAGTGAAGAGTAGTGAATGGATGGACACATATCGCCTGAAGTTTCTGGGATCAGTCCAAGTGCCCTACCACAAAGGAAATGACGTTTTATGTGCAGCTATGCAGAAGGTAGACACCCTGTGTTTTGCACATTTGGATGTCCATATCTTTCTAACTTCATGTTTTAGTCATCATATTTTTCTTATTTCTTCCAGATCGCTATCAACAGAAAGATGACAGTCAAGTATAACCCGCCTTCCTCCTGCATCCTAGAAATCAGTGTTAAAGGCATCAAACTGGCAGTTCAAGAGGACTACTACACCTGTGATAGAGTAAGAACCGACAGCTCGCATCTCACCTGGATGAGATGGTTGATGACTAGCTGAAAACACAAATTTGAATTGAATTGGTTTGTAAAACACTTTTGTGACATGTTTTATGCATGGCCAGGTGGAGTCATTGATGTCATTTTGAACAAGTCCCACTGCAGCGGTGCAGAAAAAACTATCGGATTAGATTTGTGCCAATAGGATCAAGAAAAAGACTTTGAAGATCAAACAAATATTAAGACATGGAGAGAAAAAAATTGTTTCAAAAGAAAAACTTACAATCTGAATCAGCTTCTTAAAATGATCAAGAAAAACACTTTAATGGTCAAACAAAAATTAAGAAATTGACAGAACAAAAATATTGACTAAAGGAAAAAAAATGTTTCAAAAGTAAAACTTACTATCTGAATCAACTTCTTAAAATGAGTAACAAAGTATGTTTCCTTTTTCTGTTTGCCTCTATGTGTTTTTGTTATCAGTTTCCTTAGTTTCGTTCTCGCTGCTCAGAGCTTTGCTCTCACTACCAGATTTGCACTTACACTGTCTGGCTTTCTCCTTTGCAATCCCTGAGTTTTTGGTTGCAATTCTGACACAACCCTGTCGGGTGGGTGGGACTTCTGAGAAGTCCTCTCCCATAGGACAGTGGTTTCTCTTGAGTGAAAGTTCAGTGACCCAGAAGTGATGTAACCTCCAAGACATTTTTTTCCCACCTCGGTCAACAACATGAATTTTGAGCCCCAAACACATTATTTATGCTGTCTGTGGTGTCTACTAAGGATCTAAAGTGAGTATTGATAATATATTTTATCTTTTCTTAGTTAATCTTTAAGTTAAGCCACCTTTTAAGTTGGTTTTAACCAGACGTTAGCTCACTAGCTAGCTGCTAAGCAAGCCATTGTGCTAGCGTCAGGACAATGGTCTATTGTTCCAGAGAGACGTATTAAAAACTCATCTTAACATTTTCATTTTTATTCCATGTTACTTGGACGGGCTATACAAGTTCACAGTTCTGCCTGCTCCTTTTTCAGTGAAACAAATGGATTATATGATGTAACTCTGACTGAATAATTATCTAATTGAGTATGTTTGATAATAATGTTCTTACCACTATACAGATCTGACATTTGTTTGTCAGAACAGGACAAATTAGATTCAATGTGCTTTCTGTCAAGTGTTCTGTATTCTCCATCAAAAGAATGAGTTAAATACATGCTTTTAAATATTAAATTTTTACATAAAATCTATATTTTTGTCTAAAAGCTATTTCTTTTGTTGTTTGGGTTTTTTTCTTTCTTTTTAGATATAAAACTACTGCATTGCATTACAATGGAAGTGCTACACGGCCACATGTGTCAACTGCAGCTGGTGGGCTAAGACGCACCATAGTGTACACAAAGTACACTGCAGACAAGGGATGTAAGAAAATATCAATATGACAATATATCACGATATATTTTCTCAGTGATATTGTATCGATATTCTCAAACTGTGTCTCTAAAATATCGATATGCAAT